TACATAAAATCTCCCAAATGTTTTTGCCATTTTTGGCCTTTGGAATAGAGTAGGTTGCTAAAAGGCCCAAGGACATTGTGAGTTTTAGCCAAGAAACTGGCTATGTTTTTAAGGGGTCTTTTTACCCTAACTGCCTAGCCAATTCCTACCTCCTATTCTTATCACACCATCCTCTGAAGAGGTTACCAAAATTGCCAATAAGGAATCAGGACACAGACCGCTCCGCTTCTTCCATGCTGAACAGGGAGGCAGGGTGAGGCAATTGGAGTATCCCTTCAGTGGGCCTATTTAAAAGACTCCCAAATTGCATAAGTCTTATCTCCAGGGGGAAAAGAAAGTCCTTGACTGGTGAATTGGAGATGTGAAAGAGAAGTAAAGGCAAGAGTAATTAGCATTACAAGTTCTAGACAGAGAACTAGAAAAAAGTCAGAGCAGGGCAATTTTCAAATGTTTAAGTCAGAAGAGGGCAATTTTCAAATGTTCCTGTGAGAGTCCATTGGAATTTCTTGACGAGGGCTTCAAAAAGCATCTCTCTATTGGGCTCCTCCTCATTTTTCTTTTGTCTTCCAAGTCTGGACTCTAGAGTGATGGATTCAGGGTTTGCTTTCAGGTATTTTGATAGCTGTTGGAGTGGTTAAAATCAGTGTCAGTTCCCTCTCAAAGGCTTCTAGATGGGGGGAGAAAACAAATTTATCCATCATTTTAGAACAATAGTGGGTTGTCTCTCTTAGCTACAGGTGGGCAGACCACCTGCAGACCAAGATTTGAAGTCTTACATCTGAGCAGCACTTTCTAGTTAGGAACAAAATCACCAATGAGAAATAATTGTCTAAATAATTTTTACATTAGACTTAAGCCTAATGTCTGGAAGTGTAATCCCTTGAATGCTTAAAGAAATACACTGATGACTTTACTCTTTCGTTATACTTTCCTTTTGGGTATATAAGACCATACAGTTGGCCCAAATATCAATTTGCTTTTACACTTAAGGTCATTTGAGGATCTGTTCCTCAGGGGTCGCGTGGGCTTGGGAGGAGCTCCTGGCTCCTTTCTTTTACCAGTTCCATCTACATTAAGATAAGTCAAAAGTCCTGCTCGACCATGTCTGGCTTCACTTGGAAGCATGAATGAGATGTGTCCTCTGAGTTGACCCTCCTCTTTGTAGAGTGGACATGGATTCCAGTCCATCCCATGGGGTCTCCATGGTCTCCCTGAACAAGAGGACAGGTGACTCACCACAGTTAGAGCGCATTTTGAGAGATATTCCATAGTCCCCTGGAACTTAGTTGACCTTGGAGTGCAAGGGCAAAAACTGCCCTTTAAGTCCCTCTGACCACATTAGTATAGGCCTCAAAGTATGGCTGTTAAACATCCAATAATGTTAGTTCAACCAGTCTGGTACTTTTAATTATTATGTGCTATGTAGATAAGGCTTGAGTAAAAAAACCAAATATTCTCAGATAAACTTTGACTAATTTTTATTTTATGTGTATGCTTGTATTGCCTGCATGTAGGTAAGTGCACCCATGTCGTGTAATGCCCGGGGAGGTCAGAAGAGGCTGTTGGATCCCCTGCAACTGGAGTTACAGACAGCTGTTAGCTGCCATGTGGGTGCTAGGATTCAAACCCGGGTCTTCTGCAAGGACACCCAGTGTTCTTAAGCGCTGAGCTATCTCTCCAGCCCAGTGTGTATATTATTTTTTTCTCATCCTTTATATACCATAACAAACCTAAACAGACTTTCATCACTTGCTTAGGCTTCCTCATTATTTTCTGTCCATTTTGGAAAATATCTCCATTCCCATATCCTTTTAACATCTTTTACATTCTTGTTTTCTTTTCTTTAAAATAATCATGAGACACAATAGCATAAACAAATAAATTTTCCATCTGTTGTGAGACTTCTTTTCCTGGGGATGCTAAGTAATGCTTATTCCCTTTCAAGATTCTAGTGCCGAGCCAATGTTTGATTAAAGTTTTACTGGGGAACCAAAGAATTTATTGAGCTTACTTACCAGATAACTGAGGGGTTGCTAAGGTGTATGTATGACCTGAGGGTATGCACACTGGAAAGCCTTAACCCAGCATGGGCCATGCCTTCTCTTCCTTGCATTCACCAGATTGTATACTTTAGCCCTCCCCAAATCCAGGAGGCCATGTGTGATTAAGGTCAAATTACATTCAGTTGGCTGGGAATAATGGTTAGATAATGTGGTGAGGACCGATGTCCTTGCTTGGCCTTCCATTAATGAATGAGCACAACCTTCAACAAGCCCAATTGTGAGGATGTTTAGTGATCAAGCTCAGCTGAAGTCGTGATGATGGTGGTTATTTCATGCAGAAGGGACTGCTGTATAGCATCATCTTATTAAAAGGATCTGGAATTTAAAAGGATTTGGTGCTAGGATTCACATATGAGGGGCAACATACGTCGTTTGTTTTTCCAGTCTGTGTTACTTCACTTAGTATAATAGTTTCTAGATCCATCCAGTTACCTGCAACTTTCATTATTTCATCATTCTATACTGCTGAATAGAACTCCAATGTGTAAACATGTGACATTTTTGTTAACCACTCGTCAGTTGAGGGGTACTTAGGTTGCATCCATCTCTTAGCTATTGTGAAAAGAGCAGCAACAAACATGGTTGTAGAAGTGTCTCTACAATAGAATGAGTCCTTTGGGTATATGCCAGGAAGTGGGATAACCATGTCATATGGTAGGTTCATTTTTAGTTTTTTAAAGAGATCTCCACACTGTTTTCCATTGAGGTTGAACGAGTTTGAAATCCCACCAGCAGTGAATGAGTTTTCCCATTTCTCCACATCCTCACCTCCATTTGTTATCATTTGTTCTCTTGATCCTAGCCAGTCTGATTGGGGTACAGTGATATCTTAAAGTGGTTTTAATTCACATTTCCCTAATTACTAACAATATTGAACACTTTTTGAGATGTTTCTTAGTCATCTTTGTTTCTTCATTTGAGAACTCTCTGTTTACATCTTTAGCCCATCTTTTAGTTGGGTCATTTGATTTCTCGATTCTTTGTTTTTTGAGTTCTTTGTATACTCTGGATGTTAACCCCCTGTCAGATGCCTAGCTGAAAAGAATCTCTCTGATTTTGTGGGTTTGTGCTGTACAGAAGCTTTTTAGTTTAATGAGGTCCCACTTATTGACTGCTGACCTTAATTCCTAAGCAACTGCTGTCTGATTTACAAAATCCTTTCCTCCACCTATATCCTGTAAGTTACTACCAATATTTTCTTCTAATAGTTTCAGGGTTCCCAGTTTCACATTGAGGTCTTTGATCCATTTGGAGGTGAATTTTTTGCAAGGTAAAAGATAAGGATCTAGTTTCATTCTTCTGCACGTGGAGATCCAGTTTTGTCAGCACCATTTGTTGAAAATGATGT